GAGTTCCTCTTTTACACATAAAACCTCTAGCTATCCTGTTATACAGCACAAGGGCCACCAACAAATACACTTGCAGTCCAATTCAAACCTCGATATTATGAATCAAAAGGGCTATATATTATGAGGGCGGATATATGAACAGACGAACCTTTGCATTGTTCATCGGTAAAACATGAACAAACCAATCCCCATCACCTCTCTCATGTACTAGTACTTTTGGTTATTTTTTCAATTGGCAAATTCATATGAAGTCGTGGGCATTCGTGATTCATCGTTGCTCTGCATATATTTTATCATGATCCTCCATACTTGTGCATTGGTTTAGAGTATTTGTCTGTGTGCCACATGACGTTGAGGCAGAGGCGGCGACTTGGTGCTCTCCTTCCTGCCCGCTCGCCATTCGATCCCTTGACCCTGCGCCGGGTCTCTCTCTCCCCCGTCGATGGCGACTCCTAAAGGTCAACCAGAAAAATAAGATTTCTTCACAAAATAAATGCTATAGTGTATGTACAACGTACTACTCAACTGGGCACGTTGCAAGAAGCAAAGAAAAAGGAAGCCCGATCGACGGCGACGTGGAGGCGACCCAACAATGAACAATCCATGCCACCTACCCCGCAAGCTGCACGTTCTTTTCATCTTTACAAATACAAACGCACGCAAGGCACAGCGCAGACCAACGCTTTGCAGGACCATGGCTCCGCGCGCATTGCTTTGTCTGAGCCTCCTCTGCCTCGCCGTGCTGGCCAGTGGCGGCGCCGCCGCCGAGTCTCACACGCAGTGCACCGACAACCCGCCGGACCTGACGGCCGGGGGCGACGAGGCCGGCGCGGTCGTCGACGACCTCGCCGGCTTCAAGGCCTACGTCACCGGCGCCGCCCACTCCCACAGGGCCGTCGTCCTCGCCTCCGATTTCTACGGTCAGTTCATCTTGATTATGGAATGTGCAGGCAGAGTATGGGTGTGAGTGTGACTTGGTGTTGACGGTGCTTTATTTGATCTTTTAGGATTCGAAGCGCCATTGTTGAGGTACCAACTTTCTCTCCTCGCATTTCCTTGTGTTCCTCTCTTCACTGATGATGACTAGGAAATTTGTGAGCACGGACTGCTCTTCAGTAAAAGTACAAAACAATGATATGAATCAATTGCAAATTGTTTTAGCAAGAATGGCTCGGTTTGTGGAACCAAGTCAAATCAACACCAACCCATATCACCATGTGTGCAGTACCAATAAATTTGTATCCATATCATTGTTTAAACTAAAAGTCTTGCGCGTTCATGGAAATGAAGGAAAATTGCCGACAAAGTCGGTGAAGCTGGATACTACGTTGTGGTACCCGACTTCTTCAATGGACAACCTTACACAGAAGGCACAAACAGAACAGAATGGTTCCTGGCTCACTCTCCGGTAAATTCATCTTTACCTATGATAATTCTTCATTAATTCATTTTGTCTATATTTTTCTACCCACTCTGATCGGATCTTTACATACAGGTAAAAGCAGCTCAAGATGCAAAACCCATCTTCGCGGCATTGAAGAAGGAAAAGAAGTCTTTTGTTGGAGTTGGGGGCTATTGTTGGGGCGGTTAGTAAAACCAACACATAGAAATATGCTTATATTGCCGGCATGCTTGGAATACAAAATGTTGAAGAGAAAATTAGTAATTCCGCAAATAGGATTAGTTCGTATTCACCTTTTCAAAGATTTTTTTTGGTTCATGACCTCGTCCTCTACCGACAGGGAAATTCGCTGTGGAGGTGGCGAAAACAAACGAGGTGGAAGCAATTGTCATCTCCCATCCTTCAGCAGTCACTGCCGACGATATGAAAGGTGAACTTTTGTTTATCTTGTTGGTACTCTTATTGGTGAACTATACATGTGTTTTTATTCTTAGCTCAACTGCCACTCAGTGATCAAGTGCCCCATTGAGATTCTTGGAGCTCAGAATGACGCTGTTACACCGCCAGCATTAGTAGATCAGCTTGTTGATGCCTTGCATCAAAGCAATCAGGTTAGTTTCAGGTGATCTCATTCCAAACATTTGGATACCAAATGACTACTATGTTGTTTCTACATGGCTTGTTACCCTGTGCATGGAAGCATGTAAATCAATTTGCATTCATGAAACAGAAAATTCCTTCAGAATAACCCAAAAGTTAGGCAATAAGCACAGAAGATTTCATTCATGTTCTTTGACAAGAAGTGAGTGAGAGCCTCATATGACTTTCGCTTGTTGCAGATTTACTATGCAAAGATCTTTCCAGAAGTTGCCCATGGCTTCGCTTGCAGATACAATGTCACCAACCCGTTCGCAGTCGAGACCGCCGAACAAGCCCTTGGCTTAATGCTCGGCTGGTTCCACAAATACCTGAAATGAGAACGCCTCATCATGCAAGTCCTTGCAATTTGTTACGTCCAAATAAATTTCCCGCAAAAGGAAAATGTTACGTCCAAATAAATAATTTTTTCTTGCGTTCATGCGTGTAAACTTACATAATGAGATATGCAGATAATCTGGTTACAATGTGTGTGCTTTACCTTTGTATAATAATCTCTTCACATTGGTACTACGTCCATGCGTGTGTCGGTGTGTGCAGTTGTTAGCAGCTTGCTATGTCTTCAACCATGTGCAGAATAATACTAGTAATAAAAAAGGTGGCTTCATCTCTTTTATTAGTTGCGGAGGCAGGCCAAGTTGCCGGTTTAAAACGAAGTCCAGATCTGTGACAGGAATTACGCACTTGCAAAGCCTCTAGGCACAGATGTGTGTATTGCCCTGCTCCAATCAACCAAACGAACAAATATCGGCAACACGGAATGGATGCGATCTCTAGAATCTTATCGCACGGACCCGGCAGCCTGGTAGGAACCGATTGCTGAACCGGCTTGAGCGATCTCCTAATCATATCCCATGTATACAATCAAACAATGTGTAGTTGCATGAGTGAAGACAATACAGGACACCAAACAACGTGCCAAAACCAATCCAGATCCGGCTTGAGCGCCCCCACACCCACCACCGTGCGCCCCTTACAGGCATGTCCGCGCCGCCACACACTAGCGCCACCCGTACTCGCCACCAGCCTGCCGAGAGAGCCACACCCACCCCCGTGCGCGGGCATGAGAGAGCGACCACCAGAGAAATGCGACCCCCTTCCCTGGAGCCGGTCCAATGGCTCCTTTGGCGACGGCAAGCCGGAGAGGAGAAAAAAAAGTAGATGGCAGCGGCTTTAGCCCTCCTCCCCCCGTTGCCAGTGTCGGGATACTATGAAGATCGTTGATGGCTTCTCTATCAACAACTAGACGGGAAGGAGAAGGGAAAGTAGGCGGCGACGGCTTTAGACTAGCCATAGTGGGAGTAATTTCAGCAATAACTTCGAATCCAACTCAGCAAATTTGCTTATGTAGCAATGAGTTAATGAGGAGAGAGGTACTTGTAGTAACTTAGCTAGTTACTGTAACATCACATGTCCCAATGCAATATGAGTCTCTAATTTAATAAATGAATCTTTGCATGTTATCACCCTTATGTTACTACCCACTATAAAGATAGTAACATAGTCTAGTGATATGTGTATGTTACTAATGTATGTTACTATCCATTGTGACTAGTCTTAGAGCTTTTTTTCTTGGCCCCTCGTATAAAGATGTCAACATATACACATTTTTTGTTCCTCTTAATGAAAAGGCAGAAAGGTTGCTGGAGGGGTTATATTACAAGATTGCCATTGAGCAACACGTCCCACGCGTCGAAAGTCGAAACTACCTCGGCCTGAGAGTGAGGTCCCGTCGATTGCTCGCATTCCGATCCCCATTCTGCGCCGCCACATGGCACGGACGGCTCCGGTCGCCGACGCCGACACCATCGCTGTCCTCGGCGGCGACCTCCTGCGGGAGGTCTTCCTCCACCTCCCCACCCCTGCCGACCTCCTCCGCGCGGCGCTCGCCTGCAAGCCCTTCATCCACGCCGCCCGCAGCGCCCGCTTCCTCCGCCGCTTCCGCCGCCGCCACCCCTCCGCCTGCCCGCTCCTCCTCGGCTGCTTCGTCCACCGCCCCAGTGAGGACCGCTGCCGCGAAGACCCCAGCCCTCTCCTTCTCCCCGCCCCCCTTCCCGCCGCCGCGCGCCGCGTCGTCGAGGGCGGCGACTTCGCGCTCTCCTTTCTGCCCGACCGCGGCTCGTCGGGCCCCGACCCGTGGAGGGTCTTGGACAGCCGCAGCGGCCGGCCCCTGCTGTGGGATCGGGCGTCCGCGGAGCAGCCCGTCGCCGATCCGTGGAAGGTCTTGGACTGCCGCAACGGCCGCCTCCTGCTGCGCAATCGGGTGTCCGGAGAGCTGGCCGTCGCCGATCCCTTGACCCGGCGCTGGGCCTCTCTCCCCGCGCCCCCGGCTGAGCGCCCCGTGGGGTACGGCCTCGTCACCGACGACGGCTGCTCGTCGGTGTTCCAGGCGTTCTGCCTTTCAGAAGACGGCGGGGGCTCCTCCGGGCTCCGCGCCCTGGTCCTCTCCTCCAGCGAGCTCCGATGGGCCGACGCCGCTGTCCTCGCGGGCCAGTACAATCTCGAGGACTCCCGGGTGATGCAAGCCAACGGGTCGCTTTACTGGAAGCTCAAGGGCGGGGAGCGCATGGTTGCGCTCAACACGGCGACGATGGCGTTCTCCTTGCTGGAGCTCCCGGATTTCGCGCGGCAGTTCAGCTTCGATGTCATTGAGAAGGGGGACGACGATGCTGGCGGGCTCTACCTGCTCACCATGCTCGGATGCTGCATCGAGGTATGGGGCGGCTGGGATGATGGCAGCGGTGTGCTAACATGGACACTGGTGGACAAGTCGGTGAGGTTCCAAAGGGCCATGGCGGAGATGATTGGTTCACCACAGTTTTACCGGCATGGGCTGGTTGTCATTGCGGTGGTTGCCGGTGTGGTCTTCTTGCGCAATAAGGATCGCCTGCTCTCCATTGATTTGGAAACTATGAAGCTGAGGATGTTGGTTCGGAAAGACGAGTGCCCATCGGCCCTGATGTATCCTTACACGATGGCGTGGCCGCCTTCATGCTTGAACCCTACTGAACAAGGTGCTGGATAAGATGGTACCCCTACTTGCAAGTTTTGGCCAACAATCTGATTATTATACATAAATATTTGAACCAAACAATTCAGTTTATAACTTAACATTTTCTTCTTGGCTTTAGCTTTTGTGGAGATAAAAAGAGCATGCTGATCACACTCCAAAACTTATTACTTTGTTCGCATCTTGGTTGGGTTAAATCTTCTGATACGCTGAATACCCTGATTCTGCTGCAGAAATGTGAGGCTCACTACATCTTATGATGATAATAAGGTTTTGTGCAGAGGTAACGAAGAGGAAGGAATTCAATCATCCATACGATGGTTGCGGCGCAACCAGTTGTGCCTAAATGTCTGAACCTCGTACGATGTAATTAGTTACTTTTATGTTCTTGGTGTGTGTTTGTGTGGTCACTCTATAATCCGACTTCGTAATCTGGGGAATGCAGTATGTAGCACGCTTCCTTCCTGACTGTTGTATTGTACCAGTTCATCTGTCTCCTCAAATTTGTGTGATACAATCCTAGTCGAGGTTGGAGTGTGTCTCCTTCGATACAGATGCATGGATTATATCTCAGTGTAATAAATGGGCTTACAGAATCATGCACAGGTAATAAACTGAAGACTGAAGAGTATCAGTTTGTGTCTGAGCCTTCTTATCTAACCCCTGAAGAATTTCTGAGATGCACCACGGATGGAGACAGCAGCCTCAGGTTTTGGGCCCTGTTTCCTTAGTTTATCTGGGTCGACAATTAGGGTTTTGTAGCCTAGTAATTTCCTACTATCATGAATGCATATGGACTTACGACTACAATGACGTTTCTGATGTTCATAAATGCTTTCCCCCTTGCAGTGCAATTTTCCTTCAAACTTCTGCGTTTCTTCACACGAAACTGCTCCGTGGACGACGAATGCATGCACGACAGCGGCCTCGTGTGCATAGCAGCGCTGTTCTTCACATGTTACTGTCAAAGTGTTGATTCTTCCACTGTGCCCATATACATTTAGAAAGTAACAAAGATAGGACCGCAATATCTGGGAAATGTTCCTTGCCAGAGATGACATTTGCGAACGACCCAGTTGGCATTTTTAGGGACACAGCTCCTTTGGGTTTGTGACGTGTGGGCCAGCAACCCGTTGAGCCCACATGTCATGCACACAATGGCAGGAGCGAGTCTCATTTTTAGTGTTATTTGGGTGGCAATTTTAGTGTAGTGCAAGGCAGTTCGTTTGTTTTGAGGCAAATTTCTTCGAAAACTGCTATCCGAGCGATCTGGATGGTGTGTGGCTTGAGGTGGTTCACTGGGAAACGTCAATGGAGAAGGTCGGACAGATAACATTTCCGTAATAAGGATATCATGGCAATTCATGTTCTTGAAACGTCAGCCAGAAAGCATTTCCTCAAAACAGAGCGTTTCTCATGGCCTTGGCATCCGGGGATAATTATTGGAGCAATTTGTGTGTGTGTGTGTGTCAGTTTATCAAATTGCTCAGTGGGGAGTAATTTAGACTAGTGTATGACATTAGTCTAAGTTACTACCTTCATAATGCAAAGTAACATGATAGTAGTGTCATAGATGACTTCATTTATTAGCTTGTAGACTCATCTTGTCTTGGGAAGCGCTATGTTACAGTAACATATTATGTTACCACCTCACATTAAATACTTGCCACATAAGCAAAAATTTCTTGGAGTGCGCTATGTTACTAGTGTCATGCATATGACACTAGTCTAAGTTACTACCTTCATAGTGCAAAGTAACTAAGTGGTAGTGTCATAGATGGTTTCATTTATTAGCTTATAGACTCATTTTGCTTCGGGAAGCGCTATGTTTCAGTAACATATTATGTTACCACAAGCACCTCTTTCCTCATTAAATACTTACCACATAAGCAAAATTGTCTTGGGAGGTGTTAAGTTACTACCTAAGTTACCCCCACTATGGCTAGCCTTATTGTCACTTCTCTTCTCTCCAAATAAGTCGTGGCTTCAATTTAATTTAACAAAAAAAATCATGAATGCCTTTTGTGTTTGCAAAAAGTAGTGAAAAGAGTTTCTTAGAGCGGGCAACCCATTTCAATCCTCCAATGCAAAGGTGCTTAGATGAGGTGCTTAGATGAGGTGCTTAGATGAGGTGCTTAGTGCATTAAATAGTTTAGCAACTCAACTTTCCAATGCATAGGTGCTTAACTTGTTGCTAAGCACATAAACTCTTTCATGCATTGGTCATCTTCTTTCATTTAAGTGGTTTGCCTAGGTTCATGTGCTTAGCATTGGTTTTTTCTGGGGTCACCAAAATGCTCTCTTCTCTTTAATTACTGTGCCATGTCATTTTTTGCTTACATGACATGCTTAGCACCTGTCCAGGGTGGAGCACTAGGAAGGGCGACCATCTCCGCCCACCCAGCTCTCCTCGTCCTTTTCCCTCTCTTTCTCCTCCCAAACCAAATACTCTCTCCTTTCCGGTTTATAGGGCTCAAATATGAAATCTCATCAACCAAGACAGATGATGAGTGGAGGGATGTATCTTGTATTTTACAAAACTACCTACTCCCTCTTTTCCGGTTTATAGGCCTTATCTCAAAATTTTAGTTTTTCATTTTATAAGGCTCAATTTGGTTGTTCCCCATCACAAGTTCAGATTGCAAGATACATTAAATCATTGCATGCTTGGCCACTAGATGAGTAGGACATTGTATGCATTGGTTAGTTTTTTTTAATTATTGCATGCAAAGGTTTAATGTGCCTTGGAATCTTAATAGGAGTTGGAGATGAGCCTTTTAAATTGAAAAAACGAAAAATTTAAGATAAGCCCTGTAAACCGAAAAGGAGAGAGTATGCGTGCGCAACTCCTGCCATCTCCGCCGAGAGGCCGAGGAGGCCAAATCCTTTCGGCGAGCGGCTCTCCCGTGTCCCATTTCCACCTTCGCAGTTGATGGCTTTGACGTCATCCGCACGACCGCACCCACCGCATGTTCGCCCAAGAGGCCCCGACGGCTAAATCGTCCTCGGCTTCGTCTTCGACAAGGTCCGTGTCCGCGACTGCGCCACGCATCTCCGGCCACGAGGAGCTCCTGGGCATCCTCACGGGCGCCGTCACATGGTCGCGGAGATGTCTCGCAGAAGCAGCTTGGAGGCAGCATTTCAGCGAACACCCAAGGGGTGTCGCCAAAAAGCTTACGCGAGCAACCTAATCGCAGTATTAACTTTCTGTCCACACCACAGATATAAAAAAACAGTGTAGATGAAAGAAGCAACAATACGCCCCGTCATCTATTTTGGAACGGAGGGAATATAATATTGTGGCAACAAAGATGAAAAAAAGACACCTCTCTTATAATATAGGAATGTACAAAACCTTGTAGATGGCTACGTCTACGGCGGGAGCGCATCCTGGCCAAGGTAATGGAGGTAGCTGTCGTGGATCCAAGAGCTGGACAGGAGCCATACTTGTTTGGAGAATGGACAATTCAAAAATGAATGGTTTGCAATTCGGGCACTTGATCACAAAGCTTGAATTTATCTGCATCATGGGGCCATCCATCGCCTGTTAGTTGATCAGCTGTCCGATATGGGTCCTGCAACCCGAGCCATAGCAAGAGCTGGCAGTCCTTGCTGACTACTGTCCATCGGCGGTAAGCTTCCTGGAAATTGAGTTTGGCTTTTGACCCAGAACGACATTCTGGGTCAAGTTCCACAACCGTAGAAATTGCTGAAGGTCTTTCTTCAAGAACCAGAATGGCTGAAGTAAGCTAGAATGAATTGAATAGGCAGAACAATAATCCTCTCTCAACACAAGTGACTGGATTCCATTCTGTCAATTGATCCATCATTCAGCACCACAATGGTGCCTGGTTGTCTGTGCCTTTCAATCAGCTTAGCTAGTGTGCCAGGTTAAAGAAGGCTCCTTACTATTTGAAGTGAAGCCTTGTTACTAGTGTCATGCATATGATACTAGTCTATTATACTACATCCCTAATGCATAGTATCATAAGTAGGTATCATAGATGACTACATTTATTGTCATGCATGACACAAAGTAGCACATCATTTAATATGATACGGTATCATGATATGGATACTCAAGCATCTCTTTCTTTATTTAATTCTATGTCACCTCATCAAACTTGCTTAGTTGGCATGCATGATACTATCTCTTTATTTAATTCTATGCCACCTCATCAAACTTGCTTAGTTGGCATGCATGATGCTATCTATGATACTCCCATTACGGGCAGCCTTACCACCACACGAGTTACTCCGGAAGTTCAAACTCCAGGCCTCGTCCCATCCATGCCTCCTCTAGCCTTCCTCCTCCTTCTACTTGGCCAAATCCTTCTCTGCTACGGCCATCCATGCAGCATTTTTTTTGCATGGGTGGTCAGGTCGGCCGGTGTTTTTTTGACAGAAAAACTGCAAGGGAGGCCCCTATATTATTTTGAGGGCTGCTACATGGACGATAATTTTGTGCCCGACGCCTGCACGATACTACGTGGCAGCACCAACAACGTTTAGGCAATTGTTTTTTATTCAAAAGCTGAAGCTAGCGCAGTTGGGAACAAAATATCGGCTGCAGATCGTGCATATGGTGTCGTCCGTGTAGCAATTCCGATTATATTTGGTGCAACAAACCCAAACTGCAAGTATATTGTCTTGAACTTGGATGGGTGGGAAGGCTTCAGCCCCTTTCCACCACTAGGCTATATATACCTCAGTCTGCAGGTTGGCCGGTATTGCCCTATGTTGGCTTCTGTGACGGTTTTAGCCTGGTTTTTCGTATATTGAGCAGGCAACTCTCTTATTTTTAATGAATCGAGATCCTTCGGACTGACTTCGAAAAAAAGAGAAAAAAGAACCGGAAATGCAACTTGGCTCCCGGGTCCCCACACATGTGCCTCGCGATTCACGCATAGAAAAGTATTCTCCTGCGTATTCGGATTTAGAAAATGTACCTTGGCCCACGCGCGAAATCACGTGGCTTGCTAACGCCGTTTCGGTACAGAGCGGGGATGACGGACACATACGTTCGGGACTCTTGCCTCCACCGCCCACCCCGCACCACGCGACGCTCCATCTCCCCCGCCCACGCCGCCTTGATCGCTCCTCCGATTCCTCCCCCCAGGTCTAGGCCGGCGCCGCCTTCTTCCCCTATGCTGCGCCGCCGCTGCCTGGTTCCAGATCTAAAGCTTGGATTTTGCGCGGCAGACCAACGACGCATCCATCCCCAAGTGCCCCTGGCCATGGCGGCCGTCGTTCATGTCCACCTCCACTACCATTAACTCCCCCCTCCTCCGTCCGTCGCCTCGCCGACCCGACCTCTTCACCTCGCCATGGCGCTCCCCACACCCCGCGCTCCT